CCACGGGGCACAATACCGCGGGCCTCTGCGCTCCCTGAACCCTCCGGCCAGACAAGTGCAGCCCCATCCCTACCAGAAGGCATTAGCACCAGAGGTGTTCCTGCCTACAACTGGGGACAAGCCCAGCATAACCAGGCCAGAATCAACCCGGGAGGAAAGAAAACCCCCCTGGTACCCACCTATTACTTCAGAGAATACTAAGCAACCATAATCGCTGACAAATGGTGCTGTTCTTCTCCAAAAACCGATAAGAACAGATACTACACTTGATCTTAGCCAAAAGGCAGAGAAGCGATTGCACAAAGGCCTTAACCAAAGAACCAAAGAAACAGCTAACAGGTAAGAAATTTTGGTACACATAACACATAACAAACACATAGTGGGGTTTTCTCAAATTTGACTGGAAAAGTGGAGCTACACTTTAAAAGGTACAGTCACACACTATAAGCCCAGACATTGCCTTTTCAAGTCAACTGAAGACTTCCAAGGTGTATCTTCACCAAATCCAAAAAATCTAATATGCCTGCTTCTCTCATTTGTCAAAAACTAGCAAAAAAGGAAAGGTGCACATGGGAAGGGCAATATAAAAAAACAGTGCAAAAGGGGTCCTGAGAACAGTTTCGAACTAACCAGCACAAACAAACACACAAAAAACAACAAATCTGTTTAATCAGGTTAAAAACAGAGGTTTTAGCTTTTAACCTAAGCAATTAAACAGATTGCTATGTATAGCCTAGAAGATTAAAGTGCTCAGGGTTAACAGGCAATGATCAGAATGCAAATGGGCCAAAGTAATTACCGTATCAAAAGATGTGCAAAACACCATAGACAGTTCCAGATCAATCACCTAATTAACACAACCTCCTTTTGGGTTAAGCTAAAAAATTATTTTGCTCTTTCTTCGGAACTATGCCTAACAGTAAGCCTACCAAATTATCTTAGGAAGGGGACTTGAAGGGAGCTACTCAACTCAACTTTCTTGTAATATTTGACAGACATCACATACTGATGTTGTAATGCCAACTTCAAATTACTAGGAATAGTAGCAAGATGAGATCATCCATCGATGACATTCCGCATTTCTCCTCTTCTTCAGTGGCAATTGCTAATACTTCTCCCTCAGACCGTCTCTCTCTGTTAGGCACTGGGGAAGTCACTTTAGAAGTAACAGTCATGTTGGGAATGGGCTCTTCTTCCATCATCTGTACAGTCTGGCCACTGCTGATGTTGTGACCCTGAGTTTGGGTGCCATTTTGGCGTCTAGTATCCTGGGCTCTACGGGATTGCAGGGCTTTCCTAGACACTGAGGTGCTACCAATTAACACCTGCTGGGTCCACTGCAGAGCTCCTAGCCATAGCTGGAAACTTCTCTCCCTCATCAGGCTTCCTCTCTGACCAGTGCAACACTATTTGAGTTCCCCGCATGCTCCATAATCGGAGGGGTTTTTAGCAGGTTGTGGGTTCCTCTCCTCACTTGGATCTGTCATAGATGAGGATCCCCCCAGCTCTGCCACAGCCAGAGGCCACATTAGCGTGGCTGCAGGAAGTGGAGGATCCCTGGAGGGACTCCTAATTTCAGGGGACAAGCACAGGGCGTGACCTCCCAGTGCACAAATGGACAAGCACATCAATAGCTGTACCTACCCTGACCTACCCTATGCAGTAGATTATCATCCTGGGACTGCAGCCAAGAAGACCCGTTTGTTGCTGCAGCAGCAGCACGGAGCTGATACAATAGATCTTTCACAGTACTCATGGCGAAGTCTTATTCACTTGTACAGCATGCAAGTTCTCCAGATGCTGTCACCTGCTTCTCACTACAGCTCAGCTCAGAAGAACCCCCTCCTTCCTGAAATACCTTCTCCAGTCGGCTAACAGTTCCCTTTGTGCTGTTCTTTACACGTAACCCTCTAACTGCCTGATGCCCCTTCAACCCTGTCATGTGGCTCCTTTGTCTATGTCCTTGCCTTATTTTGCTATGGGCCTTTCTTGATCCTTGCTGTCTCAACCAGTGTTTAAATATGGTGCAGATGCAGTCAAGGGGTCCCCTTCTAAGGAGAAAGAGAATAGAAAAAAATCATCATTTTCTACCTACTAGAAAATCTCCATGAGAATCTCTGATGAATTTGAATGCTCATTGTTATTTGGAAGATAACTGGTGATGCTCTTCTCAGTCACACCACTTTTTATTACATGATCATGTATGTGATGCCATGTTTTATACTTAATCAGTTGCCGTCCGCCCCTTGTAAAAAAACGGATGGACGGCACTGCTGCATTGGCAGGTTTTTTTCTGCTTGCGCACGCCCCCTAGCGGGCACGCACGGACAGAAAAGACCCGTGCAATGCAAACACCCGTTACCGGGTGTTTCACATATAGACGATCGGCGGCTCTATAGCCTGCTGATCGTCTATATGTGCTCGTTTTTTCGGGCTGCCGCCGCTTTTTCGTTCCCCCCTGTCTGCTGCCATCCCCCCTTCCTGACCCCTCACCTTCAATCCCGGGATCCGCTGCCCCATCTGTGACCAGCTCGGGAGGGCGTCAGGAGGAAGAGGAAGGGAGGTCAGCTCCTTGCTGATCTCCCTCCGGGATGTGAATGCAGAAGTGATGTGTATTACATCACTTCCGCATTCACCTGTCAGTCATCTGGCTGCTATAGCCAGAGAAAAGAAGCTGATGAAGCAGATATCTGCTTCATCAGCTGCTTTTGGGGTCCACAGGTGACATTAGGGCAATAACAATAAGTGCAAAAAAAATAATAGTCACATATTTGGGGGTCACCCCCCCCCCTCCCAAAAAATGTTTAACTTGTCCGAGCCAGCTGTCACTCACGTAGCTGGGTGGATCCAGACAGTATTGTCGGGATCTTCTCCGCCTGTGGCGTCTCAGTATACTGCGAGCTGCAGCTCGCGGTATACTGAGCTTTGGGGCACGGGAGAACGCTAGTTTGTGTTCTCCCGTGACCCTTAGGAGAATTATGGGGAAAAGCCCTGACCCCATAGTTCTCCTTTAACTGATCAAAACCAATTATCTGCTTTTAACTGTACAGCTTTCCTATTGTTTTACTATTTTACATCTTCAGCAAAAGCAGAATATGTTGTTGTTTATACAATATACAGTACTGGTAAATGGCTAGCACCATAAAAATGGCATGGAGGACATTTGTTGAGTTGAATTTTTTTCATGCTTGTTCTACATAACACTGCTTGCTACTTACACTATTTCATAATAGATTAATAGTTTATTAGCTACAACTATTCTATTTTTTTTAGCACTGACTCCCTAAGGTGCTGTCCAAATGTTGGGTCCTCCTGCCACTCACAGTGGTAACCCACCCTTAACTGAACTCAACAAATTACTGACACTCCAGTAATGATAAAGTCGGCTTTATTTAAGAAGGAAGAAGCCCTGTACGGGAAGTTCTATTTTAAAAGTTTCAACAAAAATGGGATTCGCCCAATATAAAACACAGAAACAAACAACATTAAGACAGCGCTATGACTCTTGTTCCCTCTTATCGCCTGCAAAAGGCCTTGCCAAACACACTGGGTAAATGACAGTGGAATGAGTTGGTTAACATAAATGAATACTGTAGAGTGCTGATGTAGTGAGGCTAAACATTCACTTAATTTATCTCAACTCCTTTAGTAAATCAGCCTTATTAACTTTAATGATACAATCACTCACGTTAGCAAAATCCTCCATAACTAATAAATGGAAATCATGATCTCTAGTTATACTACACAATTTCTGGCATATATGTAATTCAACAGATAATATCCTTACCTAATGAGCCAGTGTGTGTGTTTCCTATATTAGCCAATCTGATTTAATTAATTTTGTTAAGTTGACTATATATGTTACAATCTCTGTACAACTTCCTTTAGAGATTGTACAGAGATTGTGTAGATTCACCAAGCTACAGCATACAGTATATATTGAGTGCCCACCCTCAAGAGTACATTAGTTGTATCAGATCAGGTTTGGCCTTATACTACATAGTTATCAGTAGATTTAAAGAAATTGCAAATCAGATTGTAGATTGTAACATGTATGGTCAGTTACAGTGAAACCAGAAAAAAGCAAGTTTGCTGTTGTTGAGTAGTTTTTATGGGCTATTGAACATAAAAAAATTGACTTTGCCTATTTAAATAAAATACAAAGTGAAATAGCAGTAAGATATAAAATAAGAAATAGTATTTTGCTTTTATTGTTATAACAGTGCATTGTTCTTCTTATTGTCAATTACTTACTTGGTAAAATGTATTGTACCTCCAAATATAAAAGTGTATAAGAATCATGAGTAATGCGACAAAGAGTCTACAATTAACACCAAGGTAAATATTTTACTGCACGGTAGGCAATATATTTAAACTTATTTGCAGGATAAAGCTGATTCCAACAGTTACAATTGGGAATGCCATATTGGGTTTGCTACAATGCTTGCTTAGGCTAATGGAGGTCCTGTCATTCAACTGCCTCAGCACTGGGAAACAAGATAAACATTTCTATTCGACTCCTTTGCAGACAAGTCTCCTCTTCAGAAGATCATAAAGAGTAAGAGTGCACTTGTCCTATATCAATTGGAGAAATCTCTACCAAAGTGCACAGCGCAAAAGCAGCTACTTCCAGGTCCTCACTGCTAAAGAGTTCTGTGATCATCAGCTCTGACGGCTCAGCAGGTGACAACTAAGAGCCATTACACACAAAAAAAGACATTTTCCTTTCTCGGTTTAACATGATTTAAAAAAGAAACTTTTATATGGACTATCCACGTGCCCTCAGATTACGCATGTCGATTCCAATTAACTTTAAGATGGAGCTGTTTTTTCACTCTCCTTTTTTCTGCCTAATCCTGTTACCTTCACGGATATAAATATTAATGCTTGCCACCATGGTTATATCGTGATGGTTGTTTGCAAAAGTAAGATATCAAGAAGAGGATCTCAAGAGAAAGCCTCCAACAACCACAAAGATTGCTTGTCATAAACTTTGCAAAATGGAGTACAAAGGAGGTGTAACTGAGTCCTCAGTGTTCGGTGCTGATGTGGATGTGATGGCATTTTCTTACAGGCAAAACCATCATCCTAACAACACAATGGTATCTTCATCTCCAGGTCAGGATGTCTGTGAAAGATTCTATGATTTTGCATCATTTGGAGAAGGTGGGATATCATTTAATGAAAAAAGGTCTCCGCTGACCAGATTTCACGATGAAGAAACAGACTGCGAGGAAGAAAGTGAAGGATGTTCTCCTATTGGCCGACCAAAGCGAAAACGAGTGATTACCTATGCCCAGCGGCAAGCGGCCAACATTAGGGAGAGAAAGAGAATGTTCAACCTCAATGAAGCCTTTGATATACTGCGAAAAAAGGTGCCAACATTTGCATACGAGAAAAGACTTTCACGAATCGAAACTCTACGTCTTGCTATTGTGTACATCTCTTTCATGACAGAATTGCTTAACAGCCCTGGGAAGAAAAATTAGAAAATTGATGCTATTTACAGTTGGGTTCACTGACATTTCTCTGGATGTATATTTAAGGTTTAAAGAAAGTATAGCTGCTGGTGTTCCTGCTTTCTTCTTTCCAGGTTTGGCTTGAAAATGTAGCCATATGGATTAGATTTAGCCCATAGGGGGAAAACGAAAGTGACTCTGCCAAGCTGTTTAATAATCACAAAAAGCTGAAAGGAATTATGATATTGTTGGCAGTACAGTATTGTGGGTGAAATGTTGTTGTTTATATTTTAATGTAATTAAACTGATAAAGATATATTATGCCTATATTGTAGTATACTGTGTAAGCTGAATTATAGTACCCTGTGATAAATGTGTGTAGGAGAAAACATAACTTAATTGCATAGAATTAGGTAATGAAAAAGTAAACTTTGTACTGAGCAATCTAAAAAGTTATTTAGAGTTGGGTATAATGTTCAGATCATTCCAAGCATTCTGTGATCTAAATGCAGGTGCAGTACTACATAAACTATGTATGATAGAATGTATTACAGAAATACCATAATAACTAAAACATTTAAAATGAGGATCTAATTTCATTAGAAAATGAATGTAATTCCTTTCTGTAATGCAACTTTTATGTTTTTAAAAGGGAGATGAGATATTTAAACATAATGGAAACCAAAGACATATATTCACTTGAATTGCATAAAGCTCAGTCAGAATTTGACATGCATCATATTTACAATTCAGAAAACAGAGAGAAATGCTCCATGATGTTTTTTTTTGTTTTTTTTATCTACGCTAAACAGCCAGTATAAACATTGTGATGAATCCAAGTGTGAGTTGGTGAATTTGCAGGTGCAGCTAACATACTAACATTTGCAAGAACTTTTACAGACTTATGCATAAAATGTTGTGCTTAAGAACACGTTAATTGTTTAAGTTGCAAAAAAAAAAAAAAACATTTATATATTAGCCTAAGATTTTTTTGCAAATGTTTACACAAATTACAGAGGATTATTACTTTGTGACATTTAAAAAAAAAAATTAATGGTATTTGTTGGTGCTGCTATTATAGATTGTAGAACCAACAGTTTCCATATTGCTTTTGGAATCTAGAATACAAAATAGTATATTATTATTTTTTTTAAATAGATAGTTACAAATGCCTTCTATTTTCTTTGTAAATACTATAGTAGAAATGTTTTTTTAAAAAGGCTATTGTGACTCAAGTTAAATGTAAAATGCTGATCTAAAACGAGTTCATTGTTTGCCTTTATCACGGTGTGTATAGGTAGACCCATCCATAAAAACAAATCAAGTTTGAGGTATTTTTGTGTTATTGGCAGTGACATGGCTGATATTAAAAAGCTGGAGAGGAATGTTTGACCAAGAGGCCACTTTTCAGTCTCAGTGTTGGCACATAGCTCCTGGGAGCCCTGAGAAACCCCGGAGTTTCCTCTATTGTGTCAGTTACATTCAGCGAACTAATTGGCTTTTGATAGCTGTTGATGCTGCACTATACACCTGCAGGTGGGAGGGATTTCACTTCACAGGCAAAGTTAGATGCAAGAAAAACTTTAATTATTTTGGCATTATCTGATAATGCCTCAGAGGTCACTGTAGCAAAATGCCTGAGATACTACTAAATATATGTTAAATCGAGAGGAAAAGAATTTGAACTCAGATTTAGCGCCCCCAAATTGGAAAGTTTAGATTTTATTTCTAAAAATATAACAAGTTTCTTTTTTTAAATTTTGAAGTTATTTCTTGTTTTAAATGAGAGGGGACCAGATCTCTTTATAACTTTATAACTGCTTGTTAATGGAGTATAAGTATAAGTTTAGACGCATTTGCCTATTAATGAAGCTGCAAAGGCAGTTTTTTAATTCACTTTCAAAATACTTCAGTGATAGCAATTCTAGGAAATTTTTATTTTATAGATTTCATTGGACAATTTATGAATATGTTTCTCACTTCTTTTCCACATTCTTTACTTACCCATTTACTTTTTACCATTTCTTATATGCTGCACTTCATCATCTCAACTTTCCAGTCTTCTATAACCTGATGAAAAAGAAGGAATAGCTTTTGGCCAATAGGGCAAACCAAAAGTAATTTTTCTGTAAAAAGGACCGTAGAACACAAAAGTGTGCAATGGGTAAATACACTTACATAAGTAGATAGATTTTCTATAAATTTGAGAAGCTGCATAAAAAAATAATTGTTTGCATTTCTTTATTTTTTTAAAATTAAAAAAAAGTTATTTGAGTTCGTGTATTGCTAGAGTTGCTAACAAATATGAAGGCTAATGTAAGTGCAAGTTCTGTTCCAATTCTGAATGTTAAAAGAGAATTAAAGCCAATCCTTTTTGGTTTTACTTTTCTTTTGGGTCAGCAAAGTACATTTACTAATGTACTCCTATGACCCAAAATCAGCAGATGGCTAACGGGGAAGAGCCACGCCACAGTTTAAAAGGATTCCGATCAGGGCTGTCCTTACCTTATTCACTGCCTTAGGCGGCCAGGAAAAGGGGGGAGTGATGGGTTAAGCCAAGATGCCCCGGGTGGGAGGCGGCAGCCAGCCAAGCTGTCAGGCGGGTGAGAGGCAGCGGCCGGCTAAGCTGTTAGATGTGGGCTGGAGGCAGTGAGTAGCTGAGCTGTCAGCGGGGGGGGGTTGGGTGTTGTTAGTTGTCTGTGCTGCCAGAGCCCCCGCACCTGTCTCCTCCCCAAGGAGATGCCACCTGAGGCTACCACCTCAGGCTGCCTCATTATGGGCCCATCATTCCGACAATATTGTTAGGTCCCAACTGTCAGTCACTGCTCTCCACTGCCATGGGACAGTTTCAGCAAGAGTATATTTACTCACCCCAAACGTATCTTTCAATGTTAAAAAGAAACTCTATCTGCAGAAAAAAAATGCTGTGGGTATAAAGTACAGGCAACTATAGGTTCCTGCACACACTTTTAGTAGTCTTTAAATCCTTGCCTTTATGACTGAACATTGTCACAGGCAAAGCTTTAGCACTTCCTAAAATATTTTGTCCAATTAACATGGAGCTGATCCAAAAAGCAGTAAGGTTCTGTGTTGATGGGCATTAGTTTGTACCAGACAGGTTTTGCATTCCTACACAAGTCTATAATGTAAATCCCACTTGAAGCAGATCAAATGCAGGTCGGAACGAAATTGACAGCAAGTCAAATGCATTTTGCACAGAATTATGAATGATCCAAGAAATGTCTGAAACTGATATCAAACCGGTGCAATTTACACAATCCCAAAACCCAGCGACAGAGGCACTAAGGATGGTTGGCCAAAAATTACAAATTCTGTTTGCCTGGGGTTCCACTTTAATGCACTAGATTGGGTAGGTAGCTCTGACAGACTGATATTCAGAGACTAATCCATTAACTAAAAGGTTCTTCACTAGAGACCAAAAAGTACATTATTTCTAGATTATTGATAAATACAGAGCATTTTTACCAAAAGGTTTACATAGATGTAAGTGCCCTAAAAAGCAATTTTTTTAACTTTATGCAAGCCTTACATCATTGGAAACTCAATTCCAATCACCTTGTATTCCAGCAAGTGACTAAACTCCTATGTATGCGTAAAACGTTATGCACATATGCAGAACAATACCACCTCCCCCTTCTCCAAATAAGGTTCACTGAGACTTTTTGTGGAAAATCCATAGGTTAAGTTATACTGTGATGCAAACCCCCAATTTCTATACAATTATTTTTACTTTTCGGATTTTCAGAGAGGAAGGCACTGGTGGAAATCGTTAGGTGCGGTACAAGGTGTAGAGAGAGAGATGAGAGAAGCAGCATAGAGAGGATGGCATTGGAGACAGACAGAAGTTTTAGTACATTGGGAAGCTGAATAGGAATGAGAGGAGCAGTATGGGGGTGTTGTTGAATGACAGAAATATGGGGGGGCAGTGAATTAGAGAAGCAGTATGGCAGAAGCTCCAGTGGTGCATGAAAGGGACAGTATGGGTACAGTAAGGGGAATAGGGGGTTTGCTGGTAAACACGAAGAGCAGTAGAGGATTAGTATGGGTGCAAATTTTAATTTGCTTGTTAGTAAGAGCAAGCCTAAAAGAATACACTCCTTAGACCAGGTCTAACTTTAACAGGGACTTACTCTTGTATGTATATGGGAAACCTGCAGTTCCACAGTTGTTTCAGAACTATCCAAGCTCCACAGAGAGTGCTAGTCATGTACTTTCAGTTTGCTGTCAGCCTGTGCACTGCATCATATCCTAAATCTATCTATATTGGCACAGATGTATTTAATTAAGTTTATACCTGTTTATACCAGTCTGCAGGAGCTACAAATCCTGAGCTGGCTAATTAGTTATACAAGTAATAACATGGCGGTGCCTTTCCCTAATCTTGCTGTACCTCTGGCTGGCATCTGCATAGTAGTTCTTCCCAGTATTTAGGCTAGTGTGAGACTTCTGGTGGTTTACATTGAGAGTCCGATAAAAGGTCCCATTTTATTTGGTGGTTAGTAAATACTCTTAAGTCAAAATATGATATTATTGTTCAGCTAAAAACAGGCCCAACTCTCATTTTTTGAACTGGAGCTACCACCAGTCATGCAGTCAACTGTTTTAAAACTATTTATAAAGCCTTAAGGGAGCAAAGGCGGCAGGTATCTCTGACAAAGACAACTAGGAAGATATCTTCCTGTCCATGAGTAAGTCATTGGATCACCAGGACACACCACAAGGCTTTTCTGAAGGTAACAAGGGCGATAATCAGAATGAAAGATCAGATCTGTTCACAGGTATTGTCCAACAAGCTAAACAATATCTTCTGGAGGCTTTTATTATCACTCCCTGGAAGGTAGTACTGCCCATTTATTGCAAAACAATCATTACAATTAGGAGCATAGCTTTCTTCTATCAGACTTTTTACTGTTCTCAATTCAAGTCTCGTTCGGGGTCTACCTTGCTGACGACAATACAGTCTATTTATAGATTTGATTTTAGTCTAAGCTGTTGATATTAAAATGTAG